TTCCTGTTCCCGTTCCTGTTCCCGACCGCTTCCTGTTCCCGTTCCTGTTCCCGACCGCTTCCTGTTCCCGTTCCTGTTCCCGACCGCTTCCTGTTCCCAGACCGCTTCCTGTTCCCAGACCGCTTCCTGTTCCCGACCGCTTCCTGTTCCCGACCGCTTCCTGTTTCCTCTGGAGTCCAACGGTTGGATCTCAGGCTCTTTCCTTCTCTGCTCAACAACGTCTGATCTCTCAGTATAAACGTTTCTGGCGGCTGCTGATCTCACCTTCCTGATTCCCTGCAGACAGTCCAGCACTGTGAGGTTGTAGGTGCAATTCCCAAAGGAGGCGTCCCTGCAGAGACACAGAACGTCAGTAAAGATACAGACGAGTTGATTTTAGCAAAATAAAAACCAAAATAATCCGATTTATTGGAGAGATGAAGGAAAACTGATCACAGCAGATCATTATGCGGCTTTGCATCAGGAGAAAATGTCGCGTTGATCCCAAAAGGCTAGTTTAGCATGGGTACATTAGCAGCTAGTTAGCGTTAGCCTAAACCACTTCAGAGACCGTAATGAAGACGTCTGCATGCGACCCAAACTTTGCCTGACAGAAAATCCTGTGAGTAATAAAAATTAAACATGAAATTAAAAAGTCCTCCCACGATACGATTTAAGACCTGGGATTAACGTACTTAAGGCCAACTTACATTTTTTAAGTGAATTTAAGCCATTTTAAGGCCTTAGCTTTAGATCCATGTATTTGTGGCTCCCTGATTGGACGGGCTTTAAATCAACTCCAGAACCTGCTGCCAGTTTTAGAGAAACTTTCTTTAAACAGTGGAACCAGAAAAAGTCTCAATCTGTCAACAAGACGAGGATTTTAATCCATCACATGCGTCCAGTTCTTACATTTCATATCAGAAATGTGGTAATAAAGGTTTGAGTTGTTTGTCAACAACTTGGGAAAACATGTTTTTCATTTCACATAAAGCTGCTTAAGTCTGGGTGTAGTGATGAAGTTTGACCTGAACCCTCTGGCTCTGGTTCTGAACTGTCTGAACCAGAACCTCTGATTGCACAGATATTCTCCTACGAAGGGAGAACCAGAACTTTCTCACTCAGAAACTCCAGATTTGGTTGCTTTTCCTATTTGAGGAAAAACTTCTTTAAAACTAACTTCACGTTGCTGCTAACAGGATCTGGGGGGTTCAGGAAGCCCGGCGGTCATTTTCCGTGCGGTCAGTGAAGGCCTCACTCGGTGGGCGTGGCCTGTCCGCATCATGTTTAATCCATCAGAGCTCCTCATGAGGCCGACAGAACAAAGTCTTCCTCCTCTCAGCGGCTCCGCTGTTATGTAACCGCGCAGTGTGTTGATGGCAACAAAAAGCCCTTTATCTCTCACACACACACACACACACACAGGCTGTGCTCCTCTGTTTGGGTCAGCGGTGGCTTGAACTCCAGTTCTCCCAGTCTCCTTACTGGTGGAACTGGACTCAGCTTCCTCCTCCAGCTTTTATCAGAAGTTCCTTCCAGGACAGGAAGTCTGATGATGTCATCGGCTTGAAAAGTGAATCTGAGGGTAAATATTTCCTCTGCTGCTGCCAGCTGAGCGTCGGCCATCAGAGCTCACATGTTTGGTCTGGTTCTGGTTCTGAAGACGTGAAAACATTCCTGACTGTTTTGTTTCCGTTTTAAATGAAATAATCGTTTTAAACATTTGGGTTTTTCCTGTCAGGAACAAGCAGCCAGAAGGAAACTGGAGCTGGAACATTTCCGCTCTGAACTCACCAAAAAGCTTTGAGGAAACCTTTAAATCCTCGCAGCAGGAATCACTTCCTGCCTCTGAAGTCGTTTGGTCAACTTTTAAATCCAGGTTCTCTATAATCAGCTGAACCAGAGCAGCTAAACTTTCACCTCTGAATCCTGCAAACATCCTGCAACCATCAACTCCTCCTGCTAATAAACGCCAGCAGATTCACCATAAATCTCTCTGGAACAACAAAAGGTGCTTAAGACTGAATTTTAGTGCAACTGGAGGAAGAAAAGTTAACAAGGAAAAGTTTCACCAAGTTATTTAAATGTTTTACAAACATCCAGAACCTCTGCAGGTTCTCTATCTCTCTCACACACACACACACACACACACACACACACACACACACACACACACACACACACACACACACACACACACACACACACACAC